CCGGCTTGCGGAAGGGACTTCTGGGGAAGTGGGCGGGTGGAGACGCGACGAGGTCATGAATTATGCATCAAGGTACGAGGGGCGGTGAGGAGCCTAAAAAAGGTTAGGGTCCCGTTTCCCTGCCCTCAGGGTGGACTAGGCGGGTTGATGTGAGTCGCCAGTATTTTTTCTTAGCCCCTTAAGAATGTCTTGATGCTTTGAACACGCGGGAGTGAATAAGGCTGTGTCAGTTAATTTTCTGGGGTCCCTACTTAGCCTCAGAAACGACATTCTCTCCCAGCTCCCGAAATCCGATGGATCTTCGTCTGACCGCACCCCTAACTCTTTGCTTTGGCCTTGCTGCGTTCACCCACGTCTCTATCCCCTTTCCCTCGTTTATTTTCAAATACAGTAGCACTCGCTGCCCGACACATTGTTACCTGTTCACCTCTTCCCGCTAAAATACTCCCGGAACAGGACTTTGGACTGTTCACTGCTCTATCCTTAGATGCCGGCTCTTAGTAGTAGACGTTAAACGTGTGTTGAATAAATCAACGACAGTTCATGATGAACACAATATGAACTCTTTCAGGAAGCCTTCCCTGATTGCTCCAGTTCGTAATGGTCCCTTTCTCTGAATTCCCACAGCATTTACTCTGTATCTCTTATTGCTATTTTAACCATTTCATGTATGTGATTCCTCAGCAAGACTGTTAGTTAGTTCCTTAAGGAAGAAACTGCACCCATTGCTTTGCTGAGCACATAGGAGATGTCAAAAAGACACGTTGAAGAAATGAATGCTGGCACAAGCTTGCACCCTATTCAAGCCAGAATCCTTCTGGGCTCAGCTCTATTTTTTTTTTTTTTTTTGGAGAGGTTTTCGCTATAGGGCGTGTGTGCTCATCAGACAGAGAGACAGAGACAAAGTGAGAAATCACCCCTCGGGGGGATGGCCAAGCTGCAATCCCTTCTCCATTCTCCTCTTGGGATCCTGGGCACGCACGCACACGTGCCCGGTATGAGTTTAAGCCACAGGGTCCGGGACTCTAACTGTGGTCGACGACTACATGGGAGTCCAGCGACATAGCCATTATGCCAACTGCTGGTGCCAAAGGACCAGCTCTATTTTGACTGGAGCAAAACAGATCCCTCCTGAGACCAGCAGTTGGCGTAATCGCTATGTCGCTGACTCCCATGTAGTCAACCACGGTTCAAGTCTCAGACCCGGTGGCTTAAACTCACGCTGGTCACGTGTGTGTGTGCCCAAGATCCCTAGAGGAGAATGGAGGAGAAGGGGTTGCAGCGTGGCCATCCCCCATGGGGGGGGGATTTCTCACTTTCTGTCTCTCTGTCTCTCTCTCTCTTTCTGGTGAGTGCACGCGCCCTATAACAAAAACCTCTCCCCCCCAAAAAAAGATCCCTCCTAGTAATAGTAATGCAATAGCTCCTTGCTGAGAAAGCAAAAGAATCTTAACAAATAATTATAATGCCCATTTTACAGATTAATGAAAAGACTTTGGTGGTTTAAGGGATGTCTTACAAGGCCACAGCAAGGAAGTAGCAAGGGACATTTTAAACATGTTTTTTAAAGAATTATTTTACTTTTAACTTTATTTATTTATTTATTTATTTCAATTTGACCAGAGAGGCACACAGAGAGAGAGAGAAACTGAGAAAGGAAGCCACCAGGTCTAGGACTCGAACCATGGTCATAGGAGTCCAGGAGTCCAGTGTCCTCAACCACTATGCCACCTGCCGGCCCTGGACTTTTAAACATTTAAATATTTAAGTAGATGAAATATATTTTGGCTTGCACTTATAGTCTGTGTATTTTTTTTTTTTTTTAGAGATTTTTACTATAGGGCGTGTGCTTGCCAAAAACAGAGAGACAGAAAGTCACCCCCTGGGGGGATGACCGCACCACAATCACTTCTCCTTCACTCTCCTCTTGGGATCCTGGTCCTGCACACATATGTGCCTGGCGTGAGTTTTAACCTGCCAAGTCTGAGACTCGAACCATGGCCAACTACGTGGGAATCCCACGATGTAACCATTACTCCATCTGGTTGTTCCTGTAGTTTGTATTTTTTTTTTAATTTAATTTTTAAAAAATTATTTTATTTAGCTTTATTTATTTATTTTTAAAAATTTGACCAGAGAGGGACAGAGTGAGAGAGAGGGAAAGTGAGAAAGCAAGCTGCCGGGTCAGGGACTCAAACCACTGTTGGCTATATGGGAGTCCAGCACTCTTAACTACCATGTCACCTGCCAGCCTCCTTATTTTTTAAATTTTTAGAGAGAGATTTTTGCTGCTTTTGCTATGGGATGGTACACTTGCTGGAGAGACAGACAGGAAGTGAGAGGTCACCCCCTGGGGGAATGGCCACCTGCTATCCCTTTTCCTTCATTCTCCTCTCAGGATTTTGGGCTCACACACACATGTGCCCCTGTATTCAACCTCTCTATTTTCACTGCTTTTTTTTATTTAATTTATTTCTTTTTTATATATACATTCAATCACATTGTTTAGCTTACAATGTGAGCATTTCAATATGTGAACATTCCTCCCCAGTCCCGTTGATCAAAATATCTTTATCAGATAACACCACACCTCCCCATCCCGTCAATGTTCTACCTCCATGTCCCTTCTCCAAATGTCCTTCGTTAGGCCCCACTCCTCCACATACACCTCATCTGACTGTCACACACATCTCTTGTGTTAGTCAATCAGTTTCAGTCATAGAGTGCAGACCCGGCGTGAGTTTTAAGCCACCAGGTCTGGGACGCGAACCGCGGTTGACTACGTGGGAGTCCAGCGACATAGCCATTACACTAACTGCTGGTCCTCAGCCCGGTGTGAGTTTTAAGCTGCTGGACCTGGAACCGCGGTTGACTACATGGGAGTCCAGCAATGGAACCCTCATGCCATCTGCTGGTCCCTGTAGTTCGTATTTTTCAGTGTCCCCTCTACCACATTTTTTGACTCAAAGTAGCAGCAGTTGGCGGCCTGAGAGTGTTAAGGGCTCAGATGGGATCGCACCTAGTTGCTGCATGGGCTAGCGGTCGCTGAGTCAGGAAACCTGGATTTGGGGACTGATACCGCAAAGCGGGAGCGAAAGAGGAGTGGTCACTGTAAGCCCCGATTCTCCCCTGTACGGTCCTAGTTTCTGTTCACTGGCCATTTCCTGGGCCTCGGCGATTCCAGATGCCAGCCCAGTTTCCACCCTTGCTGTAAGAAGCAAGTTTTAAGTGCTTTGAACTCCTTAAAGAGAAGCTTTGGAGAGGGAACCGCGGGCGCAGCGGGAGGAGGGCTGTTAATTTTAGCCCCGGGCTCTCCAGCTGGCACGCTGCTTCCATCTTGAATCACTTCCACACCCATTAATTTTAGCCCCGGGCTCTCCAGCTGGCACACGGCTTCCCTCTTGAATCACTTCCACACCCTGAGCTGTGCCTGGGAGATCCCTCCTCCTGGGGGCTTCCCCATTCCCTGGTTTGGGCTGAGCCACAATGGAAGGCATTCCAGAAAAATGCTTCAGAGAAGCCGACTGAGTCATTTGGTGCACAGGCCAGGAGGCAGAGCGCGCAGTGATGAGGTGCCGGGCCGGTTCCAGCGCCACCTGGGAAGTGAGGCCTTGAGGCACCATCCGGTTATCAAAGGGGCACTGTGGCCCTTGTTTTCCTGCTGGCCGCTGACCCTGCTCGGTTGTCTGCAGCCTTCTGGGGACCCCTCAAGGCCCCACCTCATAGTCTCTGAATTCCAGGAGAGGGACAAATTCGGGTCTGTCCCCAGGGCTCAGGGCTCTTCATGGTTAGCATGATAGTGCGACTGGGATCCCTCCTTCGGGAGGGATCAGAAATCTAGGTCGGCCTTTGCCTCTGTCTGACCTGCCATCTGACTCTATGGGGAAGGAGGACATTTAGGGAGGGGGAACAGGTGAGGATTCCTAGCTTCTTGCTGGTGTATTTTAATTTATTGAAATCTAGAGAAATAGCAGTCTAATCAGGCGGTAATTAATTCCCTCTTCATGAGGGGCCTTCACGTGTGCCTTCTGCATATGGATGAGCCCAGGTCACGTTGTCCCTTGGAAGAGGGCCAGTCTAGTCGCTGACGGTGAGCACCCAGTGTCCTGCCAGCAGTGGGGCGCCTTGCTCCTGTGCTGCCTCTCCTCTTCCCCCGCCCTCACCTGACAAGGCCTAGAGCCCTTGGGCAAAGAAGGAAAGGTGAGGAGGGCGACTACACATCCCAGAGCACCTCATCCACGAGCTCAGGTCCCTCCCAGCCCCTCCCTCTTGCTGCTGCCTGCTAGGGTCTGCCAAGGCCCCCTAGGGTGCCCCAGCCAGCCTCCTGACTTCCTAGTGGCGCCTAGGCCTGGCGCTGCTGCCTCACTCTGCAGCAGTCTGTCCTTGTGGTCGGGAGTCTGACACCCTGCGTGCACACTGTTCAGGCCCGAGGAGCACGCGCCCTCCTCCCCACACTCGCTGTGCTGTGCTGTGGAGCTCCTGCCACACTTGCGCAGCACACCTAAAGCATACCCGACCGACAGACCCCATTCCTAATTCTACCCCCAGCCAGGAACGCAGGAGGCGCCCATAGGCCGGGGCAGCCCAGAGCCCTCTGGCGGACTCCGCTGTCTCTTGTCCTCCCTGGGGCTACCCCATATCTGGGGAGCAAGTGGGCACAGATGGGGTGGGGGAATGAGACCTGGATGGTTACCATGGTGACAGAGCCTAGCAACAGCTGAGAAGCTGCTGTGTGGGCTTTGGCAAGGCTGATACAGGAGCCAAACCTAGAATCGGGGACTCAGAGGTGACTGATCCCAGCTGGGCCACCTGTGTCCTCTCCAGAACACACCCCTCGTCCACCCCCACGCCCGAGGTGCTTCTCTCAGAAGGGTAGCATGGGGTGCATTAATGAGTTAACCACAGGGCTTCTGATGCTTTTGGGGGGCAGCTGTGGGTGGGAGCAGGGAGCGGGGCTGAAAATAAACCAAGCAGGGCAGCCTCTCTCCTGGGACTCCCGCACGGTCCCTTCCATCGCTCCATTTCCTTCTTCCCCTTCACCCTGCGCCTCCGTCTGTCTCATCTCCCCTCCTTTCCTCACGGGCTCTATTGCCTGGCCTTCCACGCAGTGTCCCTTTTCTTCTGTCTCCTTTCTCATGGTCTCTCTTGACCTCCATCGGCAGAGAACAAACAAGCTGGGATTCTGTTGCCTGGCCTCTCCCTCTCTGCCCGAGGCAAAGCCCTGGAGGATCTCCAGCTGCAAGTCAGAGCAGACCAGGCCGCAAGGGTCTGGAGGGGTCCCCACCTGGTCCTTTCCCTCCCTCCTCACTGCTCACTTCTTCCCCTGCGGTGCTCACAGGGGTCAGAAGACAGAACGAGGGACTCACGTATCTTGCAAAGGCTTTATTTGAAAATTTTGAAACTTACATCCCACAAGAATTCAAGATTATCACCACAAGAAGAAAGAGATAATACAAAAATATATATCACAGCATAGGAGCCAGGTAAGGGGAGAGGAAGTGGGGAGCCTGGGGAGGAGGGGGAAGAGCCTGAGGGGAGGGACAGGAAAGGGAGGCAAGAGGAGGGGGGGGCAGGAGGGAGCAATGTGGAGCAGCCCCCGATGGCCTTGAACCAGCTGGCTCCAGTCCCAGCAGCCTAGGCGAGGCCCTCAGGGAGACTGGGACCAGGAGGGCTGGCTCAGGGGGCTCTGGGTTCCAGAGAGTGACACACATACAGACAGCCAAGACAGACAAGACAAGGGACTTGGAGGAAGGGAAGGACGAATGGAAGTCCCTTTCTCATGGAGTGCAGCAGACGACTCCCCCAAACCGTGTCTCAGACAGCAGAATTGAGCAGTGGGGTAGGGCGAGGTCTGGGGCCTTGCCTGCTTCCTGCGGGAGCCCTCGGGGTAACACCAGCGCCCTTCAGTGGGATGGGGGTGACGCTGACAGTGACGTGGAATGGGATGGGCCCATGACAGATGAAGGCAAGAGGAGCCCAGCTTGCCACCCACCCCTCCCGGGCAGCATGCAGGGCCACAGGAGCCCGGTCCGTGGGCGTCCAGGAGCCAGTGAGCAGGCCACGCCACTGCAGGCCCAGGAATGCACGAGGGGCAGCGTGCGTGGAGCACTGGCCGCGGGTGACAGGCTGAGCACGCGACATGGGGAGAAGGGGGAGGGTGCGACGAGAGGAGACCGTGAGATCAGCTGAGCAGAGACGAGGACAGGGAGAGGGTACAGCCGCCCAGCCGTTCCAGAGCATGGGTATACGTGGTGCCCATGAGGGTGGGTGAGTGTGCAAGGCTTTCATGTGAGTGTGCAGGGGTGGGGACTGGGGACTCGAAGTCACAATGCGTGAGGCCCCCACCTACAAGAGGGCGAGCTGGCAGAGCCGCCCGAGGGCCAGCGAGTGTTCCAGGTGGTGCAGGGCAGCAGCCGGGCACCTTGGGCCCAGCTCCCCATGGCTGCCCTCCCTCAGTGGGGTGGGGCCATGCTGGCCCCTCGGCCTCTTGCTTGGCCGCACCCCAACATTGGGGTGCATCACAGATTCACCAGGGGGATCCTGGGAGGAAGAGGGAAAGGCGCAGTCAGGAACCAGGGGGTGGGCCAGGATCAAAGGGGAAGTCCAGACAAGCCTGGACTGCGACGAGGGGAGAGTGGGAGTTCAGGGCAGTGTGAGAGCAGGACAGATCCTGAGAGTGGGAGAGGGAGGGTCCCCCAGAGAGGAGTTGGTCCAGCCCTCCTTGGGAGGGCAAACTGCCTCCTGCCCACCCTCCAGGGGGCACCCCCACCCAGGCGCTGGAGCCCTAAGTCCCTTCCCTCCTCCCCTCCCACTCCACGGCCCCTGCCCTCACCGGTTCAACTGGAAGGCTGGAGCCCCCTTGGGCTGGGACATCCCAGGCCGGGATCCCCCTCGGGGCTCCTCATGGTCAGGGGTGGGGGCAGGCGAGTCCCCGAAGGCCCCCAGCACAGTGACTCCGGCCGGGGACAGGTCTGTCAGTGGCTGGCGGCTCTCCCCCCCTCCCCCCCCCTGCCTCAGGGCGCCCTGCTGCCCCGAGGGCCTGCGCCGCTTCTGGCTGCGGTCCCAGCTGGCACCCACCCAGGAGAAAAGCGGTTTCCAACACACTCACGCCCCCTTCCAACACACCCCAGCCCCTCGGGCACCCCCAATGTCCTACAGCAAACAAACTGCTCTCAAAACAGTGCCCTGGCGGAGCCAGCCAGTGGCATGGTGGGGAAGACGCTGGACTCCCTCCTGACCAAGTCCCAGACCTGGAGGCTTGCCTTTTCACTCTCTCTCTCTCTCTCTCTCTGTGGTAAGCACACATGCTCTGAAGCAAATTAAAAAATAATAACAATAAATAAAATAAAATACTTAAAAAATAAAATAGTGCCCTAGACTAATCTCCTCTGGGACTATGTGCCCATAAAAACCACTCCCCTACCCTGGAGAGGGCTCAGGAATCGGAACCGTCCCGGACTACTCAGTCCAGGTCCAGATCCGGAGTTAGAGCCTCCTCACCCAGAGTCCACCCACTTCGGCCCTCCCCAGTCGTGCCTAGAAGAGTCATTTCTCTCTCTGGCAGGCACCGGCAGGTTTAGCTCGAATTCAAAGTCAGCTAATGACCCGGACACCTGAGTCTAGGTTGTCTCCGTAAAGTGTGAAGGACTGAGCGACCCAGTATTAAATGTGTGGCAGAAAGCTCCAGATCCTCTCCCTTCCCCCAGGCCAGCCCGAGGAGCTCTGCAGACAGTGTGTTTTCTCTGTCTGGGAGGAAATGGAGACAGGGATGCCCCGCAAAACCCCGGGTGCACCTCAAAATCTCCCTTCCCACGTCCTCCTTTTATTCCCTGGGATAAGGAATCTGCCCCGATTTCTCACTGTCTTCCCCCCACCAGAATCTTTGCCACTTTCCCCGGGATCTTGCACTCATCCGCCATTTCCTATCCCACCTCCAACAGACCTCTGCCCCTCCTCCCTCCCGGCTTCCAGCCTGAGCGCCAGACACGCGGTCCCCCAGCACCCTCCTCTCCCAGCTTACCAGAACTTGAAGATGATGCCCGTGGCCACAAGAACAATGATGATGGAGATGGTAATTGTAACGTAGAGCTGAGGGTCCACACCTGACGGGTAGGGAGAAAGCTTTAGGGAGATTTGGGGTAGCTGGAGCCAAGAGGGGGCTGGGGTGGCGTCGGACTGTGGGTTGAGTGAGCTTAGGTGTTGCCACATGAATCCGTTTTGCCCAACTCTTTCGGGTTCCCCGGAGCCTCCCCCTTATTCTTTTCTTTTTAAAAATAATTATTTTATTTAACGTATTTATTTGACCAGAGAGGGACAGAGTGAGAGAGAAAGAAAGAGAGAGAGGAAAAGTGAGAAAGCAAGCTGCCAGGTCCAGGACTCGAACCTCAGTTGGCCATGTGGGAGTCCAGCACCTTCACCACCACACCACCTGCCGGCCCCTCCCCCTTATTCTTATCACCAGCTCTCCCGGGTTTTCAGCTTTTCCCCTCCACTTCCCCACATGCACATCTCATCGGGAATTATGTGTGCGTGTGACCGGGACGAGACTCCAGGGCCAGGGCCCGTCTGTGCAGAAACTAGGCCCTGCCCTGGCCCTGTCCTGGTCCTGCCCTCGCCTTCCCTGAGCCACGGTAGCCCTGCTGGTCCTGCTCAGCCCCGGAGTCCCTGTGCCTGCTCCCACCCTGCTTTCAGTGCCCAGCTCAGATGTCAGTTGTTTAAGGGAGTGCGAGCCCTGGGCGGAAGTCGTCTCCCCTCCCTCCTCCTAAAACATGCCCTCCATGCTGCCATCGGAGCAGCCACCGTGACGACTCATCCCCGCGTGTCTGCACATCCAGCTCCTCCAGTGGACCTGACCTCGAGGGCCCAGGGCAGCTCCGTCTCTGCATCCCGGGGCCAGACTAGGACCTGACATCTGTCGAGAAGCTAACAGGCGACGCTTGGCTTCTGCCCCTTAGTCTTCGGCCAGCCTCCCAACCCCCATATCCCCACCAGCCTCTCCCACTCACCTTCCCCCCGGCCCCCAAACAGGAATGGCCGTAGGGTGGCAGGTGCTTCTCCAAGGATGAGCCCGTCTCCGTCACCCCGCATGGAGTCAGAGTTGGGGTGTGGGGTAGCCAGCCCATGGGGGGCTGCAAAACCGTAGTCCAGGGGCAGAAATCCAGGATTGGCAGAGTTGGGGTCTCCCCCATCCTCTCGAGACACAGTGGGGCCCCACACAATAGCCCAGGGGTACTGGGATGAGGGAGGCCCCTCCTCAAAGCCCCTGATGGGGTGGCAGGCGGGCCAGTGCCCGGCAGGACTTGCCTTCGTGATCTGGGCACCCTGGGGGACCGGCTTGGTGGAGGTGCCCGCTCCCACACACACACATGACGTGGGGCCGAGGGGCCTCCCCTGGCACATGGGGGGCGAGCTGGGGCTGGAGGGGCTCGAGGGGAGGAGGAGGAGCCCTGAGCAGCTGGTGGGAGGGGCAGCAGCAGCAAAGGCCAGAGAGGGAGGAGGTGGGACAGCAGCAGTGCAGGCCTGCAAGAGGAAGAGAAGTGCCTGAGACACAGGCGGGGCAGCGGGGCAGCGGGCAGGGCAGGGGAGGGGAGGGGAGGGGAGGCACAGCTAGCAATCCCGTCCAGCACCACCTCCCCCAAGCAGCTCTGGGAAAGCAGGGGGCCTGGGAAAGCCTCCGTCTTCCTGGGGAAGAGCCCTCAGGATGGAAGGCCCTGGATGGGCCCAGGAAGGAAGAAGCCAAGACCTCAGAGACAGTGGTCTCAAGCTCCCTCTGCTGGGCCTCACTCACCACATCCTGGACTCCATGCCTGAGGTCTTCCTCAGCTGTGACCCAGACTGTCAGCCTTTACTGGGGGAAGAAGGGGCTGTCACACCCCGTCCCCTCCCGGCCCTGTGTACTTCCCCAGCTCATTCACCACCTCCTGCTCCCGCCTGCCCTCCCAGGCTGCCCACTGCCAGCCAAGCTGCCCATGCAGGTGTTCCGTGCCATCCTCCTGGGGAAAGCTCGCAGAGCGGTTCCCTCACTAACCCCCAGCCCCTGCAACTTCCCAGGCTCTGTTACCTCCCCACCCCGGGGTCTACTCCTGCTCCTCTGGCTTCCTTCCTTCTCACTTCCTCTGCCCACAGCTCCAGGCTTTTCTTGGATCTTAATTTAGAGCCAAGAACCTTGTGATTCCTTGAGCACCTACCGCTAGGGAGGGAGTCTGGGTGGGGGAGGGAAGGGAAAGTCAATGTGAGAGAGAGAGAGCGTGTGCGCCCGCAGGGGCCCGCCAACCCTCCCACCCCACTTTTGGTCCCGGAATTTCTCTCAAGACTGGCCCAGGAGTCTGCTCCACAGGAGAGAGGGAGGAGAGATGGCAGGATGGAAGGGGAGAGAGGTGGGTGGGAGAACAACTACAGAATTGGTGCTCTTAACATGTAATCATCCAAATGAATCGGGCCCTGGAAAGGAGGTGGGGTCAGAAGTGCCGCCCTCGCCCTCGGAGGGAAGGGTCCTGGGAGAATCTGGATACTGGCTTTGAAAGAGGGGGGACCCAGCGTAAATAGGGTATACCACCCTGTGTCCCCTGGGCTCTGGGTCTGAACCTCCACGTTGAATGCTCCCAGAGTGACGGGACGATGGGACGTCAGGGGACTGGGCAGTGGGCTTCGGAAGGTTGGCTGAGGTGAGAAGGGAGGAGAGAGGGAAGGGGACCCACACAGCGAGGGGGGAGAGCAGGCATCCCCAGGAGAAGGGCCTGGGAAGGAGAGAAGTACAGAAGACTGGAAGACGCCAAAGCAGGGAAGGAAAGAGAAGGGTCGGGGGAACTGAGGGTGCAGGCGGCACCGGGGCAGGGCCAGGGTGGGAGGAGGAAGGGTCCAGGCAGGACGGTCAGAAGAGTGGAGGGAGCGGTGTGGGGAAGGGAGAAGGGGGTGGAAGAGACCAGGGACGGAGAGAAAGAAAATGGAAAGGCAGAAAACACAATACTGAAGACAGAACGAGCAGAGGAAGGGACGGGGACAGAAAACAGGAAAGGCAAAGATGGAGGAGTTGGAAATTGTTCCTTGACATTTAAAAGGGAGAGATGGGAAGCGTTAGAGATGGAGGCATGGTGGGAAGGGAAGAAAAGCAGAGGCAGGAAGGGGTGATGGAGCGAACCAGTGAAGCGGAGAAGGGCTCCCAGGACGTCTGCGCCCAGCTGACTCCAGGAGACGCTTGCCCCTCCGCTTAGTGCGGCACCCCCGCCCTCCGACGGCAACTCCAGCCCGTGGACCCCGCACCCTTCAGACACCCCCTCCAGGAAGCCCGCAGTCCCCAGGCAGGCGCGCCGCCCCCACCCGCTCCCCGCTCCTCACCGACCTGTTGTGCGCAGGAGACGAGCTGGGGGTGGGGAGGGAACCCAGGGGTGGGGGAGCTGGGCCCATCCCACACTGCCCACCCGCCACCCATGCCACCGAGCCCACAGGCCCGCGCTCCGGGACAGGGCCGGGAGGCGGCGAGAGCGGCCCCCCGCGAGGAAGAGGAGGTAGGCAGAGGGACTCCGAGGGAGGCAGCGCCGAGAGCAGGAAGGGGACCGCAGGCAGGAGGGCGCGCGGAGCCCCGGGCTGGGCGGAAAGCGAGGACAGCGGCTGCTGCACCAAGGCGGGCAGGATGGAGTCGGGACCGCGGAGGGATGGAGCCGCCGTGGGGAAGGCGCGCCCGGGGAGGGGGCTGAAGGCTGGAGCCCGGGCGAGGG